CCCATATAAAGATCAGATTCGTCACTCAGTGTTAGTTAATAGCTAGATATAGCAGACAGTGTAATAATATGCTGCTATAGTAAGAAATTACTCAAAGTATTTCAAATACTCCAATTAACAAATAACTATTATACTTACCAGCTAAATCAGCTTGGGTAAGAAGAGATTTAAGAAGCGACCTATCGATTAACAGGCATTATTTTGAAGATCAAGTTTAGGAAAAATTTTATCTTCTCTAAATAATGTGCATATATTCAAAATAACGCGCAAGTGGGCGTTATTACGCAAAAATATGATTATATAATCCCTATTTGCAGTAATTTCGTATAGTATAGTACTTGCGATTAAATATATATTATACAAGTTATTTGGACATTATCGTTCCTTTCAAATTAGTAAAACAATAGAATTTTATAAATCCATCAATCCTATGAACCTGCATACTATTATGATAAAAACAATAGGATTTATAGGATTTATAAAATTCAATTGTTCTAATTGGAAAAGTTTTGTAAAATCTGCTTTGAATAGTCGTTTTTTATACCTTTTTTTTCTTATAAATATTTCTTTTTTTTTATATCTTCGAAGCTTTTTTTTAAACAAGTTATTTAGTAAACTGTATATTAATCTTCATAACTGATTTCAAGCCACCTAGTAATTATACAAGTTTGTTATTACTCGAATGTTATAAAATAGGTTTGTTTTATAATAGTAATAATAGACAACTATTTATGTAGTATATACAAGCAATTGTAATAATGGAAGATAATATCTCTGATTCCGTATCAGAAAATGCTAACAATTCAGACCATGATTCTCATACTAGTAAAAGTCAAAAAAAAAGAGGCCGCCCCAGAAATACACTTTGGAGTAATCATTTTAAGGAAATTAATTCACAAGGCGATGGTCATAGAGGTTGGGAATGTTTATATTGTAATGAACAATCTTTACGTGCATCCGATGCAAATATGAATACACATCTAGCTTTAAATTGTAAAAAAGTTCCACTTGATATTAAACAAGAACTTTTACGAAAATTTCCTGTACCAAATCAAAAAAGAAGAACTAAAACAGCAATAGATATTATTACTGGTGTACAACCACGCATTGATAGTAAATTTCAAATTGCAAATAAAATGGATTCTGGACAAGAAGAATTGTGTCACAAAGCATTAACTCGATTTTTTGTATGTTGTGGCATTCCTTTTTGGATCGTTGAACATCCATTTTTTTTAGATTTTTGTAAAAATTTATGTACTTCATACAAACCACCTGATCGAAAAACTTTAAGTAATGATTGGCTTAATTTTGAAACAGCACGAGTTATAGTAGCTATGGAAAAAGAACTTCAAAATGAAAATAATCTTACATTAGGTAGTATTATAAATAAATATTATTATTTATATATTTTAGCTATTTGACGCTTGGGCAAATTTGCCTAAAATTCAAAAAAGGAAAATTCTCCGTAGATTGTATAATGTAAAATCGAAGACTTTTTCAAAACTTTATTGGTAACTCAAATTTTTATTTAGAAAATTACAATTTTTATATTTTAATTAAAAAAATTTCTAACCAAATTTTACTATATAATCTTTTTATCCTAACTAGTAATGTGCTATGTATAGTACAT